GTGTGTATTTGGCATTCAATATGTTGGTGAATGTAATGATGATGTATTTTGAAATGTCCCTAAGACCCATGAGACACCAACATTTTGCAAACTATTTTTGTTCAGCTGTTTTACATAAAAATAAAAACTATACTGTAGTACGGTTAGCCTTTTAGAAATAATTTTTTGGTTTTGAAATTTTCTAAGAAGAAAAGAAAGAACTCTTGGGTTGTAATTATCCAGTTTATACAAGGGTATTAGTGATGGAGATGTTTATATATGTGAAGAATGTAAAACTGAGTAGTTATTTCCATTTGGAGTTCCACTTTATTAATCCCAGTAAGAAAATAAAATTTCCCTGTTGTTAAACCCCAGAGTATCACTTTTTCTACAAGGTTGACTCAGTCTCAATCCATTCATCCTTGCATGAATTGAATGCTTTATCCAGGTCTCAGTTACATGCTGTGCAGCATTGACAGCTTACAAGGTAATAAATATCCACTCAGCTAACAAGCGGTACAATTGACGCAAAGCAGCTGAGCTTTTTACTCAATCATCACCCGTGTACATTTCTCTTACTCTAATTGTTAGCTCTACAGAACTGAAAACAAATTAGAATGTGCACAATTATTTAGAGTCCAAAATGTACAGACATGCTATCATGTGGGCTAAACCTGGGCAATACTCCTTAGTGTACAGAAGTGTTATAGCTGGCAGGACAGCTTCAGAAGCCAGAGAGCCCTGGCTTTTTAACTTGGCTGTCCCAGACTCCCTACTGAACAGATATGTTCACTTCCCAAAGGAAGAGAGCATCTTGAAGACCTTTAGGAGGCACATCTATGTGTGTGTGCAGTGTCAAGTGACTGTATGAAAAAAAATTAATAGAAACAGAGAAATTGGATTGATATTTCACTAACTGATTTAGAATTCTAATACTGAAAACAATCCATGTTGTGTATTCTAGAAAGACTTCCTGCAAGATGACAAAAATACAGTTGTTACAAACTTCTTCAAGAATGGCCACATAGAAATTGGATCATTTTCAAAGTGATGCCATGTACTTTCCTGTATTTTTTTTTGAGTGAATGTGATGAAATAAATACCGAATACATGTACTTATGTGATATTAGCAAAAGGGCTGATTGATTTGGCATATACTATTGTTCTCTGTGCAACAAATTCAAACCAACCTCTTAAAAGCAGCATAATATTTCAAGATTAAAAAGGTCCAGGTCGCGGTGGTCCACGAAAGAGTAACACCCAAATGCCATTACTCTGAGTTAGGATTTCTCTCTTTTTTTTCTCATTTAGAGCTAAAAAGCAGACTAGAATTAGAGACACCTGTTGAGTGTCCTATAGCTTGTAGCATTCTCAATTTTCGGAGGTGGGTGGGGGAGGCACACCCAAAGGACAGAATAAGATAGCATGGTGACATGGTGTTTTCATCCCAGGATAGCCAAATGCATCAAGCAAAACCATGGGACCACATCTTTGCATACCGAGCAATGAAAAGTCGTCATCGTAAACATGGTAAATAACTTGGAGTACCAGTTGTTTTTGTGATTGGAAATGGTCATCCATTATCACTGCCATATCCCTGTATAGATTTTGGTACTGGCAAGTGGGTGTCGCTATAATCAATACCTAAAATGCAGAAATGGTTTTGAGTAGAGGTTGGAAAAATTTTGGAACACATCATAGGAAAAGCCTAGATTGCTTTGAGAAAACTGTTGGTAGAAATACATGTGTGCTAGTTAGGGCACATTTCAATTTAACCCATGGAGGACACAGCGGCTATATGAGGCTGCTAGGGTACATTTGGATGACATATACTCAAAATAGTTATCAATTCTGATTCTGTCATCCCGTATCCACAGAACGATTAATATCAGCTGGTACAGATGGAGGGATGGTCCTATTGATATTCATTTCCCCCCGAGTGTTCACTTGGACAATGGATGCTTGGAAAATTTGGTATCATGTAGCTGGGGTCTCTCAAAAATTCTTCAGTGAAATTGATTGGCTGAGAACTGGGACAATGCACTGGTGAGTGAGGTGAGAAGTGCTACAGATCACTTCTCCTCCCAATCCTTTAAAAATTCCATGGCAAAGAATGTTTCTCCTCAGGTAGAAATAAAACTCCTGGAGGAAAAAGCTGGCATTTATTTTGCTTTTAAATAATTTCAAGTAGCTTGAAGAAAGTGGTTGGGTTCTTTTTTCTCCTAATGCCCCCAGGCTCAATACAATGCAAGATTGGATATACACGCATAGTAGTGACAACATGAAATCCAATGTTATGCTATAGAGCAGTGGTTCTCAAGCTGTGGTAGGTATCAGATTCAGCAGATTCCCAAGCCTAGCCTAAAACCATGGAAGGAGATTAAATACCACAGGTGATTCAGGTGCCCACAAAAGTTTTGAGGGACCATCACTCTATTGCAGTGTTAACTTATGCTCTGTTAAACTATGGCTTCATGGCCAATGATGTTTATCCAGCATTTGTCAAAGTTATGCAGGTTTCCTTAACGCAGGGCTTTTTTAGAACTCGGTATACTAATACACATTTTTGAATCCCAAAGAAGGAAATAGTGTATGCCAGTGGTTCTCAAAGTGTGGCTCCCCAGGACCAGCGGCCTCAGCATCACCTTGCAACTAGTTAGAAATCTTAAGACTTGAGCCCACTCCAGACCTACTCAATCAGAAACTCTGGAGGTGGGGTAGAGCAATCAGAGTCTTATAAGCCCTCCAGGTGTTTCTGATGTGTACAAAAGGTCTGAGAGCCAATAGTCTTTGTAGTGTTTTCCAAAAATATTCTTTCATCAAGCATGTGGCAGGGCTAATACATTCTACCATGAGAAAATGTTACTGAAATGTGTGTGTATAATGAAGATGTATGAAAGTATTGTCGCTTTAAGGTTTTTTGAGGACTATTTAATTACTGATTTTTTTAAAATACCACATTCTGTTAAGAACAAGTTGAGGTAGCTTAAAGAGAATGCCGGGAGTAAAGGGTTCTTCCTGGGTATTTTGACCACTTATTTATGCCAGGCTTCCCTGAGACACCAATGTACTGATATGTTTATTACCAGCAGACCTATGCTCTTCCTGAACAATGACAAAGCAAAAGCAGCAACCAAAATAGTTAATAAACCAAACCTTAAAGTCCTTGGAGCAAGAGAGAGAGGATACACTTCTTTTCTCTACTGACTGAAAATTAGGAAGACTTAATAGTGGGCAGGGGTTGAGTAAGTCTACTCCTGGTACATGATACAAAGGCTAAGTCCAAGCTAGGTGGGGAGACTAACTTCATGCAGGTAGACTTTAGAGCTCAGGCAGGATGGAGGTTTAAGATGGAATCACAAGGTGACTGAACTGGGCTGGGCTGGGCTGGGCTGGGCTAGGAGCTCCTGTTGAATGTGGCCAAAACATCTTAGGAATAGGTGTTTTCATCCCAGGATAGCTAAACGCATCAAATGTCTACTTTTCCCTTCCATGGAAAAGCATGCTGATTGGGTTCCTAGTAACTTTATTTGATGGATGCTCTGAAAAGAACCCGTCAATTATGTTCTACCTGTTCCTCCACTCTTACCTTCATATATGGACTATTCCCAAACTATGCATTACCAGGCAATGGTAGCTTTGGGGAACTAATAAAAAGTCAGTGGCATTAAAAATATTTATATTTTCCTTCAGCTCTCAGAGGTGGAAAGACCTTAGATATTTAGTCCTGTGTCTTTCCTCTACCTGGAAAATGAGCAACAGAGAAAGGGGAATAATAGTGTGGATGGCAGAGAGAATACTAGAATATAGGTTTCCTTTGTATAATTCCATCACTTAATGGGAACAAGAATTCTTTGCTCTAATGTGAAGTCCAAGTGCAATAACTAATACAATAAACACACTTTAAAGAGTGTTCATGTTAATATGAATCACTAGACTGTAGATTATCTGAGGGCGGTGTCCTTATATACATAATTCAATGTTTAACTCCAGTTCGTACAACAGTTAATGGCAAGTGATGGACACTCAATAAATACGTGTTGAAGGATTTTTCTTTGAATGAATATAAAGAGTTTATTCGGTGCGTATCTGGGTATACAACAACAAATATTAAACAACTTTTTTTAAACTTTTTTTTTTGTGTGCACAGGGCAGAAAACTGCCTGTACATGCTATGTCCACTTTTGGAACACAGATTTTAACAATTATTAATGCACAAAATCTTACATATCATGCAACTCTATGCCAAGATTCCAACTTTCTTCCATGCAACAGATATGAAGATCTAAATGGAAACCTAGCTAAGTCTTAAACACTTTTCCAGAAGCAAGTATAAGTATATGTTGTTTAGGGGTAACCAGTCTTAATATTTCCTTGTACACAGTATTCACGTGCCAAATACAATGACAAGAGGACTCATACATATACAGATAAGACATTTCTTATTTTAACAACACAAAAGACAACATCACAGTTCCACAGTTCCTGTCTTTACACAAGAAGCCACAATAATAGTTTAACATGATAACACAAATGGAATTAAGAGAAATCTACACTTGAGAATAATCTTTTTTTTTTTTTTTTACGTAATCCTTACTGACTGGGGTTGACAATACAACTCAACTTCTACGCACAAAATACAGCACAAGAACTTGACCA